GTCCAACACAATCTCACGGCAATTCGTAACTTTTTCATTTAGTGGCTAATTCGTACAAATTCGTACGATCTAATTCGTACATTTTAGTACGATTTGCGTATCCCCCAATGACGGTTGGGTTTAGGGGTGGGGTTAGGTGCCACGCCTCCTTTTTAAAATCGTACATTTTCTTATGACTGAACTCGTACGAATTCGTACGAATTAGCCACTAAACTGCCAAAACGTAAAATACTTACGTTTTCTCGTGAGATCAGGCTGGTCTGTCTGTCTGTGCATTTGTATGATATACCTTATTCTCGTTATTTTCATTCATCTTGACCGTCTCCGCAGGTGAGTTTGTGAGGCAGCGTTTCTCTCAGATGGATCTGAACAGAAGGAATATTCTCTACGTCATAAACTCCGCTCTGGACGCTTTATCTGACAGTCTAGAGTTTGCCGTGTCTGACGCACTGGGCAACACCGGACTCTCTCACAAGTAAAACTATAGCTCAGATTAAATTATCCTTATTTTCCATAGCTCATAAAGTGTTTAATATAATGTTTCTGTGTGCATTTGTCTATACCAGGGGTGTCCTGGTCCTGGAGGGCCGGTGTCCTGCTGAGTTTACCTTTAACTTGCATTAACACACCTGCCAGGAAGTTTCTAGCATCTAGTAAGAGCTTGATTAGCTGGTTCAGGTGTGTTTGATTAGGGTTGGAGCTAAACTCTCAAGGACACCGTCAGTCCAGGACCAGGTTTGGACACCCCTGGTCTATACTGTAATAGAGCATTGGAGTATATTAAGATATATTGAAGTGTATTAGGATGTGTAATGTACTTTCTCTGTCAGATTGAACTTCAGCTGGGCCGGTGTTGAGCTGACCAGGACTCAGTATACAGTATGTGAAAGTCAAGGCTCAGTTTCACTAACCATCCAGAGGAAAGGAAACATGCAGGACTCCTCTTATGTGACCGTACAGGTGGGTAGGACAGAATTTGACAGCTTTAAAAAAATATTTCCATGCAGAAATGTGTATAATACGTCTATGTGTTCTACTAAAAACAGATTTGTAAAGTATATAATTCCTCACAGGTGAAAGAGCTCACCGCATCTGCTGGGAAAGACTTTATACCAGCTTCATCTCTGATTCAGTTTGACCCAGGTAAACAAAAATATGCTGAATATTGCATGATAGTGGGTGACATTGCGGAAATATAAACACAAATTCATTGAGATGTCACTGCAGGATAATGCAAAATTAGCTCATTCGCTAAAGCTAATTTGCTAAAGCTAAGCTAATTCGCAGCTTATATCACTGCTAGCAAAACTTAGACCTGTTTTTTTTCCAGGGGTGGCCAGTCGAGTTTGGAAAGTGGAGATTGTTCAGGACTCATTGGAGGAAGCGGATGAGAAATTTGAGGTTAGCTTGGCGTCTCCTGTAGCTGCGGTGCTGAAGGACAATTCAAGAGCCACAATCTCCATTAAAGACTCAAATGGTTTGTGTTTAAGTTGTCAAGAAAGCTAAACATTTATAGTCAGTGTTTATTTT